CTTGGTATCAGAAGATTGGTCCCCCGTAACCAAGCTCTTTTGGGAAAATGGTTGTGGAGGTATGGGAGGGAAAGATCACCCTTGGCGAAGGCTTGTTTCATGCCAATATGGGGAAGAGAGTGGTGGTTGGTCTACTCATCCGGTCTCTCTCGTGGGAGGAGTTGGGGCATGGAAATTCATTCAGAAGGGATGGGTTATTTTTTCTACTCATATCAGATTCAAAGTTCGTGATGGCAGATGTGTACGCTTTTGGGAGGATCTTTGGTGTGGAGACCGGCCTTTATCTTGTTTATTTCCTAGATTATACAGTATTGCAATTGATAGACATGCCTACGTAGCCAATTGTTATCGCCTTGATAATAGTGGAATTACATGGAACGTGCACTTCTGACGATCTTTTCAGGATTAGGAAGTGGACGAGGTATGTGTTTTTCTGGATTTGTTATATCAACGGGAGGCAATTGGGAGAGGTTGTGATGACATGACATGGATCCCCTTTTCCCATGGTTAATTCGAAGTTCGATCCTTATTTTTATGTCTTTTTGATTTTGATATCGTTGATATTTTGTGGAGACTACCTAGCGTTCTTTGGCTCCAACTAGGGTGGCGTTCTTTGGTTGGACCGTTGTATGGGGGAAGATCCTGATGATTGATAATCTAAGGAAAAGGGGCAACTATCTTGTTAACTGGTGTTGCCTTTGCAAACAAGATGGTGAGTCAGTTGTTCATACTCTCATGCATTGTCCTATGGCAAGGGATTGTTGGAATCTTATCTTTTGTCTGTTTGGTATGCGTTGGGCTATGCCTTATTATCCTAAGGATTTGATTCGTATTTGGAGAGGATGCCATATAAGTAGTGTTGTTCGTGATTATTGGAGAGTTGTACCACATTGCTTCTAGTGGTGCATTTGGAATGAGAGGAATAGTAGAATGTTCAAAAGGAAAGAATCTTTTTTCCTGAATGGTTTTTTATTTTTTATTTTTTTTTTATTTTTAAAGATAAACATCAGAAAAATACAATTACAACTAGAGGTAAGACTCCATTATAGATCAAGGAATGGATATTTCCATTTCCAAAAAACACAGTATCTCAAAAAACTAAAGACCAAAAATAATTAAAAGATCTGCTAAACTAATATTCAGATATGTGATAACATCCCAAATAATAGCTTGCACTACATGAGAACTCTATTCTTGGATTCCAGTATGTAGATTAGAAATTCTGATTGACCAAATCTTCCATAAAGTGACTGAAAATATTCCACTAAGAACTTTAGATTTTAAGTTCTTAACCCCAATTTGTTGACAAAACCAATCCACAATGGAATTAACTCCATTAAATCAAAAAGAATCATCCAAGGTGATTCCGAAACTTCATATCATGCACTTTCTTTTTAGTTATGTGAGGAGGAAGTCTTATTCCTCTCCCAAGGATTTAATTATTTTTTTGGCTTCTTTACGGCTTTAAACCCCGGTTCCACTTTTGTTTAAGGGATGCGTTCCCCTCTTAAACGCCTTTTTATTTCAATTATTACTTATCAAAAAATAATAATAAATAAAACACCAAGGAATCCAAAGGAACTTCCACAAAGTTTTTCAAGTCATCCTTACTCACTTTCAGTGCAGTTGTTCATTTAACTTGTTGAGAAGACTTATTTCCTTCATTTTTCTTCTTTCCATATTTCTTGTTCTTCTTATTGTTCTTCATACCATTCTATATTTTATTTTTCATTCCTTTCATAAGTATTGGCTTACATGTGGTGGACGCTGGGATTAAGTAAGCCCCTTCATCTTGATAAGCATTCAAAGTAGTTTATTTAACAACTATTAGTTTCGAAGTAGTTGTTACCTAACCTAACAAACAGATTTGAGGTTGGGATTGGTTTATTTGATAACTATTGGTTTCGAAGTAGTTGTTACCGGGCTATTATTTTTTTCAATACTTAGAGTACAACTAATTTTAATTTTATACAATGGAGTTAAAAATAGTTAATGGACTAATTGATGGGTCATGGGGTCGACCAGTAATTTAAGAAATCCATTGGAAGCCAAGTATTGAATAAGCCCATCTACATCCCAATCCTAGCTTATCTAGGATTGCAAGCAAGATGGTTGGATAAAACTCGACCAACATCCAGCCGAGGGAGAGAAGTCTGTCGAAGCAACAGGTTGGGAAACCAAGAGAACATTTTGAATCCTCTCATCTTCTCCCAGCCCAATGAGGAAGAGGGAGAGATTTGTAGAGGAGGGGGGGAATCCAACCCCCAAGGGCAGCCCACCTCTCTCCACCCCGATAGGAAAAGCTTTATTCTACAATAAGCTAGACCTTTTTATCCATGTATTTTATAAAAGATTTTATACAAGCTTTCCAAAAGTTGTAATTACATCCTTCAAAGATGATGGTTCTCGATATGGGAACACCTTCCTTAAGGCCCTCCATGACCTACTCATTAATTTAGAAGGGAGGGGGGAAGGGGAGGGGGCCTTTAACCCTAGGGGCGGCCCACCTCTCTCCTCCCCAGTAGGAAAAGCTTTGTTCTACAATAAGCTAGACCTTTTTATCCATATATTATAGAAAAGCTTTCATACAAGCTCTCCAATAGTTGTAATTACATCATTCGAAGATGATGGTTCTCGATATGGGACTGCCTTCCTTGAGGCCTTCCATGACCTAGTCATTAATTTAGAGCAACCCTCACTGATGCCAATTAATAGTGAGGACCATAACCTAATGCTCTGATGAAAGCTGCGCAAGGCTCATGATCTAGACTAAGAGGGGTGCGAATAGGACTTGTAAACATATTACCAAAATTATTGCTTTTGAATTTTTAACTAGATTACCGAATTTTAAATTCAGTTCATGTCATAAAATAAAAATCAGTCAATCTACATAGCAATAAGCAAATAAAGTAGTAAAGCAATGAGCAATTGGGCATGGAGATATTTATATGAACTCCAAGGAAAAAACTACCAACCTAGTCTAGGAAAACCAAAATCAACTAAGAGAAAGGAAGTTTACAACCTAGGTTAACAATATCCAAAACCTAAGAACCCTAGGCAACTCCCTGACATAGATGGCGTCATACTTTTTCCTAAAGGCCTTCAAGTCATCCTTTCACTCGTCAATAGACTTTGCTCTTTCCCAACCTGCTTTTCCATCAGTGAAAATTATCCAGGCTCAATCTCTGAAGGTGGACCTTTTTTTTTTTTTTTTGATAAATGAAAAGAGAGGTAGCTCTGAAGGTGGATTGAAAGTAATGTTAAACTCTTTGATTAAGTATATAACAATAGATGTCAACAAATATAATCACATTCACCAATTCTATTAACGATGAATGCAATATATGCTCTCTTTATCTGCTGAGGAGACTATTCAGTTTTTGGCTTCCTTGTGGCCTTAGGATTCCCAGGTTTTTGTGATTTGTTAGGGATGCATTCCACTCTTGAACGCTTTTTTTAATTATTTATTTATTTATCAAAAATATATATATATGCTCTCTTTATATGTATTTTAGGTTATGTTTTTGTATACTATTTTCTTTCATAGCATGATTTATATATATAAGTGAAGTATAAATAATATGCAGTTGGTAGAGTTTAAAAACAAATTTGAAACTGCTTTTCAGTAAAACATGATGGATCAAAATACTCGTAAATCAACAAGGCTCCAATGGGCCTCGACCGAGGTCTACTACAATGTAAGCTTAGAAAGCTTTCAATTCAAGAAGCATCCAAATACTCTTTTAATGAACGTTTTTGAAACAATTTAGGGAATCAAAGATCAAATAATGTAAAAATCAAAAACCTTAATTATGCGGTAAAGTGCAAAAAATAGCCCTCAGTTTTTTATGTAGTACATAGAACAACCCTTGTGACTAATCAACTAAGCATATATAACTACCTACTACTTTGGAAAAGTGTTGCACATAACTACCCTCCCTCCACCAACCGTGAACATGTGCAGCTCTCGGGACCAAGAGTTAACCCTTAATTACCCAAATACCCTTAAATGTACCATATATATAACGTCCAGTGCAAAAAAACGCCCCTCAATTATTTAAGCAATGAATATAACACTTGGGATGATGAACTGAACTAGTTGAGGCAAAATAAAAATGATTTTTTTATCATGAATGGTACTGTTAGTAGTTTTACTCGTTTTATTTTGAAACATCCTGTCTTTTGTCAGTATCATGAACTTTGGTACATTTTATGCCTGTATTACACTGTTTTTTGACATGTATAGTATATTGTCGTAGTACAATTTTGTTGGATGGTTTGGTATTCAATATAAAAAGATCACACTAATAACACATCTCTGCATCAAATTCAAATGGTTCTTATAACCAAGTCTACCCACTTTCTCAAGCACACAACGAAGAGCCATCAATAATGGGTGCCTTGTATGGACTGAACGGCGGCGATGGATGCTTTCGGGAGGTTGGATTGAGCTACTGCGGTTGATAGAACAGTCCGTGGTTACCCCTTTATAGTATTTTCTATATCAATTTTGGGGGAACAACCTACCTACTCACAGTGGTATTCCGAAATGACCAACATACCCTTTACTTTGCACTCCATTCAAATTAACACAAATAATACTGTTATAACTACATCTAAACTAGACTCCATTTGAAAAATAAAAGTAATATGTTTTCTAAAATATTAAAAATTTAGTTTTATTATATTGAATCGATAAAAAGTAAATCATTATATTATTATTAGCTCATTAGTATTAAATTTGATAATTCATTCACTACTAATACAATAAAATTTTCATAATTTTCATAAAAAGTTAGATTCTAAAAAATGGCCAATATTTTAGGATGAAATAATATTAAAATTCTAAATTAATAGACTCCTATATCAATTATACTACCGTATCAAAACTATACTCCTGCATCAAATCAGTTATTCTTAACTAAACAACCATTATTCATTTTATAATATTTATCAAATCAGTTATTCCTAACTAAACAACCATTATTCATATTATAATATTAATCAACTTCACACATATTTTAATATTAATAATTTACTTCGCCTCTTTCTATTGGATAGCCAGATCAAAAACAATAAATTTAGGCTCAAGAATGAACTATATCGGATTTAAAACAAAGAAGTTATGGTTATTTGAAGATGGAGCAAAAGAAAAAATAATTAAAAAAATAATAATTAGGTGGGTGTACAATCATCCAGGAAGGGTGAACGATAGAACGAGTGCCCAAAGAGGGTGATCAATCACCCATGCACCAAAAAGTGCAAAAACCTCCCTTGTCTAAGGCCTTAGGCACCTCATTAGTACCAAACAAGGTCCAAAGCGCCACCGAAACCCTTCCCGAATATCCTGCAAACATCTGAAAGTGATCAAAGGTCCGTGAATCATGGCATAGACAAATGTGATCCAAATGAATAAGTGCAACATACATTGAAATGTGCATTAAAGATGAAACTCACACATTGGAAATAAAATGGTCTTATGGCCTCAAATACGTCATATTGAATTCACTTACACTTGCATACTCTAAAAATAATACACGAGATTACGACCACAAAAAATAGAAGTGCAACATAGGAATTGAATTCCCAAGATATACATGAAAGGTTATATACGTATAAAAAATAATAATAATAAATAAATAAATATAAATAAATAAATAAAAAATTATATCCACAATTAAATCAAGGTATATCATAAACTCTAAAAGTCATCTCTGGCAACTCCTTGTTCTGAAAAATGGTTATATAATAGGTGTGAGCGCCACGGCTCAATAGGATGGTGGATTATACAAGTAAAGTGTGTCCTTTGGAATCTCCAAGAACATGCAAGAAATGTTCGGCATCCCAAGGATAAAAGGTCATACAACATAAGATTCTAAGCTCCGTCAAATGAAGGAAATCATACACCCTAACTTTAATCTCCGTAGCATAATAATCTGACTAAACTCAAGTAAATCATATAATCAAATCATGTATCAATCATAACACATCATCAAGAGTATCCATAAACAAATTACAATCCTCAAATGGCACATTATTAAATAATGACCACCACAACACCACAATGGTAATAGAGTCCACATAACTCCATGTATTATGAACTCAACGCAATCCCATGAACTCCACCATGGCTCGACTCACTCAATAAGAATGTCACAATGCAAAATGATAATGCCTATACCAAAAATCATATTCCGCACATTAAAATGAATTGGTGCACTTCCGCACCCTATTGGCCAATATACATAGGGGTTTACAACCCTTAGGCACTGAACCACCCTCTTTAAAACTTGGATAGCATATATCTGTCAAATATGTCATATATGCCATGCATACGCAACCCATAAACCAAATGACAACCATAATGTACCCATTGCCAAGGTGGTACTCACACTATGACCCACACATGATAGAAATTACTCCAATGCATCCCAATGCTAAAATCATGTCTAAATTACTTATGTAGACATTTAATCAAGTTCTTCAAATGTATATAAACACATATATACCCAAATATCCAAATTGTCAACATTCCTCAGAGAGCATGCATAGGCAAAATATATACCAAGTACTCAATTTCCCCCTTTTAGTTCATGCTCATGATGTTGTGTATGGCGCGCAAGAATAGAATGGAATGCAAGTGGAAATGAAAAGAGAATGGAATGGTCATTTTCATTTTATTGTTTGGTTGCAAATATGAAATGTGTAGGAATGAAATTATAATAATTATTTCATTGTTTGGTTGAACAAATTTAAAATTTAGAATATAATGAATTTCAAAATTGAATTATGTAAAATACCGTTCTTTGTGACAAGTAAGTTAAATTAACAAAATAAACATTCTTTTATACATTTTTAAAAGAAATGGCAGAAGTAGTAGATGGCGGTGACAATGGTGGTGGACGTGAAAAGTGATAGTGGTGTAGGTGGTGGTTGTGATGGAAGGCAACGATGGTGTTAGCAAAAGGCGGTGGCAATAGCATTTGTGGTAGTGGTGGAACGTGTCAGTGGTGTAGGTGATGATGGCGGAAGGCAGTGGTGCAAGTGGTTGTGGTGTAAGGCGGCAACGGTGTATGTGGCGGTGGAAGGTGACGGTAGTGGCAGAAGTCGATGGAGGTGGAAGAAGGCGGTGGTGATTGAGGTGTCTATAGTGGTGGTGATGGTGAACACAGTGGCAGTGGTGGGTGTAATAGTGATGGTGGTGGAGGCGGCAGTCGGGGAAGTCAGTGGTGGAGGCGGCGGTGATGGAAGGTGGTGGAGGCGGCAACAATGGTGGCGATGGAAGTGACGGTGGTGAAAGGCAATGGAGGAGGCAATAGTGAAAGGCAATGGGATCGTGCTAAAAGATGGTAGTGGTAGTGGTGGAAGGAAATTGATTAGAGCCTTCCCAGCTCAGTTATTAAGCGCTGCTGATGTGAAGGACTTTAGACCTATTAGTTTGTTGGGATGCATTTACAAACTAACAGCTAAAGTCCTTGCTTTGAGATTGAGGGAGGTTTTGGATGATGTTATTTCGATGTCTTAGAACGCTTTCATAGGTGGGCGTCAGATTCTGGATTTTACTCTTATTACCAGTGAGTGTGTGGATGATAGGTTGAAGAGTGGTGTTCCAGGGGTTCTGTTTAAGCTGGGTGTAGAGAAAGCTTATGACCATGTCAATTGGAACTTTTTGTTATATATGTTGGAAAGGATAGGTTTTGGAGAAAAATGGAGAAGATGGATTGAGTTCTTCATTTCTTCAGCGAGATTCTCGGTGTTGGTTAATGGGTCTCCGACGGGCTTTTTTAGTAGCTCGTGAGGTTTGAGCCGGGGGATCCTCTCTCCCCATTCCTGTTCGTTATTGTTACAGAGGCGCTCAGTCAGTTAATGGGGAGGGCCGTGGAGTTGGGCTTCATCAGGCAGTTTCGGGGTTGAAAGTGAATGTAGGGAAGAGTGCCCCGATTCCAGTGGGGGAGGTTCAGGATATGGAGGAGTTAGCTTCTGCACTTGGTTGTGGAGTTAGTTCCTTTCCGATTTCTTATTTAGGTTTGCCTTCGGGGGCTTCTGCAAGGATTGTGGGTGCTTGGGATTCGGTGGTGGAGAGGGTGGAGAGGAGGCTTGCTAGGTGGAAGAAGCAGTATCCATCAAAAGGAGGGGGGGTTACCTTGTTGAAGAGCACTTTGTCGAGCCTACCTGCTTATTTCTTATCCCTCTTCCAGATTTCGTCGACAGTTGTTGCGTCGATTGAGAGGCTACAGAGGAACTTCTTATGGGGAGATTTAGGGGACTAATTTAAGTATCATCTTGTTCGTTCGGAGCAGGTGTGTAGGCCCATCCAGACCGGAGGAATAGGGATTAAGAGGTTATTGCACTTCAACAGGGCTCTTCTTGGGAAGTGGCTATGGAGGTTTGGTATTGAACGTAACTGGTTATGAAGGAGAGTTAACTTGTGCCGATTTGGGGAGGAGATGGGGGGTGGTGCTCATATATGGGAAGGATCTCTGGAGGAGTTGGTGCTTGGAAAGTCATTCGAAATGGTTGGAACGAGTTTTCTAAGCATATCAGATTCAAGGTTCAGGATGGTAGGGAGATTCGATTCTAGGAGGATGTTTGGTGTGGTGATCATACTTTAGCAGGCCTCTTCCCTATACTGTTTAGGATTGTTGTCAACAGACATGCATCGGTTGCTAACTCCTATCGTCTTGATAGCTGGAGGATGACCTAGGATGTGCTGTTTGCGAGATTTTCAAGATTGGGAGCTGGATGATGTTTCTAATTTTTTGGAGTTATTCTATAGCCACAAGATTCGTGGAGGAGGTAGGATTCGCTTGTTTGGGTTCCTTCTGCTAAAGGAAGTTTTAATGTGAAATCGTACTTTGGATGCCTTTGGGATCCGGCCGGGATTACGTTTCCGTGGAAGGCAATGTGGCACATCAAGGCACCGTTAAAAGTGGCGTTCTTTGCGTGGATAATGGTGTGAGGCAAAATTTTGACGCTTGACAACTTGAGGAGGAGAAATCATATTACTATTAACTGGTGTTGTATGTGTAAGTGTAATGAAGAGACGGTGGATCATCTTCTTTTGCATTGTCTAGTGACTTTTGATTGCTTAAGTCTTTTGTTCAGCCTTTTCGGAGTTTCCTAGGTCATGCATAGATCTACGAGAGGTTTGATAGACACTCGAAGAGGGAGACGTATGGGATCTCAAGCTCGAGGGTATTGGAGGATGGCGCCTTTATACCTTTGGTGGTCTTTGGGGAAGGAACGTAATAGTAGATCTTTTGAAGGAGTGGAGTCTTCGGTTGCTATAGTTAAGTCTTTTGTTATTAGCTCTCTCTTTTGTCTTCGGTAGCTGACTCGTTTGTCCACTGTATATCCTTTCCAAGCCTCTAACATATCTATTGTGGACCCCAAAACAACACAATCCTCACCAAAAATAACCAGGAACATAGACCAAACATCCCTTGCCACCAGGCAGTACACTAGAAGACTATTCACTGATTTTCCGACCCCCTATGCATGCAACACCAATTCACCATGATTTGACGTCTCCTTCTGAGGTTATCAAGAGTAAGAATACTTCTAAGGGCAACAGTCCAAGTGAAAAAAGTCACCTTCAATGAGGCTTTAGTCTTCCAAATAGCTTTCCATAGGAAAATGGAACTTAGACAATTCAAGAGACTTTGGTAAAACGACATAACCTCAAACGCCCCTCTCGAGGTTCCCTTCCACACCACAATATCCATACCCACGCCGTCCATCACCTACTTATATAGATCAAACCCAAGAAATCTAAGACCTCCAATAGCGCCCAATCATTAAAATTGCACATCCCATACCACTCTCCAATAATCAAGCCGATAATGGTTGGCAACCACAGCAAGATTATTCACAAAGATCCTGACAAGGCGAGGAAACCTATGAGCCAACACAAGGTCCCCCCCACACCAATGATATTCCCAAAATCTGACATTTCTCCCATTCCGAACTCTGAATCAAAAAAGTTTGGAAGACTCATAGCAACTTTTCCAAATAAATTTCCAAGAACCCACACTTGCAAATGCCCTCATCTCCTTAGAGGACCACCCTCCATAACTAGTATACAAATTTAAGCTTAAATAAATCCCAAACACTAAAACCTAACAAAAATAAAATCTTTTGCGACTTTTATTTCTTTTTTACTTTCAAATATAGGTATAAAAACATGTATCATGCCGAAACCTTAATCAATCAAACCAATCAAAAATTCAATCAATTTATACCAAATATGAACCCAAAAATTTCATGATCTTTAAACTTCGATAAAAATTAAAGATCAATTATATGTTTCAAAGTTTGTATATTTATTCTGTTGGTAATAAATTCAATGAATAATGTGCAATAAATTCGTTTAACTCGACACAAATATAATATAGCCTAAGTTGTGTTAAATTGAAAAAAAAAAAAAAAAAAAAAAACAAATCTATCAGTTATTAATTCTAGTGGAAATACAACTATTTCTTCTTCTTTTTTTATAAGTAAAATGAATTAGAAAGTGTTCAAACCGGGAATGTGTCCCAAGAGCTATACAGAGGGCGAAGCCAGAGACTAGGTCCTAAGGACCCACAAAACCCAAAAAAATCAATAAGCTCATCAATGGATGTACAACTTCTCCCAAAAACCCAACTAAAAATAGAGCAAATAATATGAAACTTCAAGGACCCTAAGGAAGATTCCACCCATTCAAAAGATCTTCTATTTCGCTCCTTTCATAAGCACCAGGGGAACCACCCTCCAACACTCACAAGCGTGCACTCCCACACTATAGCGTCGACAAACGTCAATCAAACCCCTCGAGGACTGAGGCATAACCCAATGGACGTCGAAAATGCCAAAGATTAGGCTCCAACAGTCGTCTTGTACTGGGAAATGCAAAAGGTGATCCACAGACTCGCCACTCCTCTTGGACAAACAACACCAATTGATTGTAATCTGTCTTCTCTTTCTCAAATTATCCAAGGTCAAAATCTTGCCCTAAACAACAGTCCAAAGAAAGAAGGCCACTCTGAGTTGAGGGGAGCCTTAGAACACCACACCGTATTCGAAGAGAAATTAGAATCACGAAAACCAGATAGACAACCGAATAAGGAACGAACCTCGAACCTCCCCTAAAAGGAAGGCACCCAAACTAGAGAGGTTGTGCCACTACCATCTACCTCCTGTCCATATAACAACTCCAATAAACCTACAACCTCTACAAACTCCCAATCTTGAAAGGAACGCCTAAAACGCACATCCCGCACAAGCCTACCATTATCGAGCCAATATCAGTCTGCCACCAAAGCCTGTTTATCCACGGCAATCCGGAAAAGTCGGGGAACGGAAGAGCCAATGGGTGATCACCACACCATAAATCCTCCCATTGCCATCCCATACCTAGAATCTAATATGCTTAGAAAATATATACCATCCTTTACGAATGAATTTCCAAACACCCACACCTCCAGCAAATCTGACCGGATTCAAGGACCAACCGCCTCTCTCATCCCCATAGCGACACACAACCACCTTCCTCCAAAGACGATGGCGCTCCCTACCAAATCTCCAAAACAACTTTCCCAAAACAACCCTGTTGAAGAGGCCAACCTCCTAATACCTAAACCTCCTAATGGAATTAGCTTGCACACTTGATCCCAATGAACAAGATGATACTTGAACTTGTCCACCCCAAAGGAAGTTTCGTTGAAGTCTTTGAATCATTTCAACTACCAACACGAGAATTTGAAAAGCAGAAAGAAAGTAGGTAGACTCAATAGTGTACTCTTCAAAAGGCTTCCCACTAGCCAGTCTCCTTTCAAATCTCTCAATCACAGGATCCCACCCTCCTTGACAGAGCACCCAATGGCAAACCCAAAAAGGAGATAGGAAAAAAGCCCACCCAACACCCAAGAACTGCAACAAGAGATGCGGTACCCTGAACCTCCCCTAAAGGTACAAGCATGCTTTTTCCTACATTAATTTTCAACCCAAAAACTACCTGGAAACAAACCACAAATATCTTAGTTAGGCTACATCAGCATTACAAAAAACCAAGGTATCATCCACAAACAATAAATAAGAGGTCTCTATCTGATGACCCAAGTCTCTACGGACCCTAAAGCCCCTAATAAATCCCAAATCCACTACCCTTCCTAGCAACCTAATAGAAACGGAGATAGAGGATCACCCTGTCTCAAACCCCGAAAGCTACCAAAAAAAACCTGTAGTACATCCATTCACTAGAACAAAGAATCTAACGGAGGAAATATAAGCCTCAATCCACCTCCTCTATCTCTCTCCAAAACCCAACCTCCCTAGCAGATACAGCAGAAAGCTCAACTGACAAGATCATACACCTTCTCGATATCAAGCTTGCACAGAACTTCCGGTTCACCACTGCTCTGCCTAAAATTCACACACTGGCAATAAGAACAAAGTTAAGAATTTGTCAACCGCCAACAAAAGCGTTTTGAGATTCTGAAATAACCCCATCTAGTGTTGGTCCTTGGTTAAGATTTTCTTTTTAGTGAGGGTATGCCCTTGCTTGAATTATTGTACTATATTGTTCATTTGAATATACTCCTTCATTTAGGAAAAAAAAAAAACCCCGTCTAGTCTCATTCTCAAAGCAAAGACTTTAGCACTAAGCTTATAAATACACCCCACAAGACTTATTGGTCTAAATCCCTAACATCAGAAGCTCCACCCTTCTTAGGGATGAGGGTAATGAAAGAAACATTCAACGACTTCTCAAACCGCCTGTGAGAATACAACTCCTGAAAAGTGACCATAACCTCATCCCTAACCACTTCCCAACTCTCCAACAAAAATCTCATAGTAAACCTATCCGGTCCCGAAGACTTATCACCATTACAGCTCTTCAACACCCCAACACTTCCTCCTTAGAAAAGGAATCTCTAGCCCATCCCTCTTAAACACAGAGATTGAATCAAAACGAAGGCCACCGAACCTGGGTCTCCAACCAACAGTCTCAGAGTAGAGCCTCTAATAGTAGAAAACAATCCCCCTACATACGTCCTCCTCCCTACACATCTCCACTCCATCCACATAGATCCGCCCAATATGGTTGCAACACCTATTGGCGGCATTAGCGAGCCTACGAAAGAATTTCGTATTGCGGTCTCCCTTTTTGAGCCATAAAGCCCGGGATTTCTACCACCATGAAATCTCCACCATAATGGCAATCTACACCGACTCTGCCTAACTTTCTTCCCTCCAAGAACGTTGAAAATCCACAATACCGTCCAGTAGA